CAATTATGACTCCAAGTCTTTCCATTTATGTGCCACCCTCACACCTCGAGTGCTTCCTAGTTCCGTCAGAGGAAGTAAAAGGTCGTAATGGGTAAGATGGGCGATCACCCGGAGGCGGCTCAGGCAAGTCGGGGATTTCTGGACCAGTAGATGCTGCCAAGCTTTGAGCACAGACTCGTTAGTCCATCTACCCTCATTGACCATACGCATTGCCAATACCTCGAGTGACTTGGGCAACGATTTGGCGATACAGGGAGCTGAATCCGGGTCCGCACCATATACAAGCCGGTAGTTTATGTATAAAGCCCTTAAGGAAGCAAAACTTTCGAAGGACCAGAATGCTGAGGTATTATGGGGTGCCCTATACCTTGCCAATGACACATCGAGGAGCTCGAGGCTCGTTGATACACATTCAAGTGATCGCCTAAAGTTATGGGGATTGATTTGACGAGAGATTTGAGCCGATTCATCTGAATAGATGAATATTTTAAGAGCTCGAGGAAGTTTAAGAAGTTCAGAAATGCCTTCTTCCCGAAGGCTCGTATTCCTTAGTTCCAATTCTTCGACACTAGATGCTCCATAGTGGGATGCTACATTACTGTGGGAGTTGATATGGGAATGAACGGACACTCTCGTCATCGACTGGGGAGAGAATGCCGAGATTAGAGATGTAAGGTCGAGCTGTTGGTGACTATTCCATGAAAGTGATCGCAGCTTGGTCGAAAAAAGAACGTTATCAAGCATTCGGGACAAATGAGTTCCAATACTCTTCGGGTTATAACCCCACTTGATATTGAATTCCTCCAGATCTTGTAGCAGACAGAGAAGAAGTAGACCAGTTGTCCATGTCAGCCCCTCTTCGATGGATTTAATGAGCTCTGGAACTAGTTTTCGTACTTCTGCTTCCTCTGAGATTTTGATTTGACAGTTTGCATTTCCGTCCAGACCATAAGGTGCATATGTGCAAACTTTTACTAGAGGAGCATAGTTAGGAGATTCAGATATTGTTTCGAAAAATCTCGCGAGACGTCTAAGCCAGGTAAAATTTATAGTATGGTAGAGAAGTGGTATAGCGATGCGTCGAAATCGTTTACTGCAGAGGGATACTTTCAGTATGTCGACGCTGGTAGTTCGCATTTCGTAGCGATTATCCTCGATAAACATCGTATGCAAATGCTCCAGTACTTCGATGACCACCTCATCTAGTTATAGAAAGTAGAAGTATTATTACTGCATGGATAGAGTTTTCTACCAAACGAATCGACAGATGAACACAATTCCGGAATATAAATGGTACATAATCCTCCATAAAAGACTTCCTTCTCAACTAGGACTCGAGATCGTCCAAATTGCGGGCCACCCTCACATTTAGGGTGCTTGCAAACTCGGTGAGAGGAAGTAAAAGCTCGAAATTGCTAAGGTGACCGATAACTCGCAATTGGCTTAAGCAGGTAGGTGATTTCTTGACTAGAAGACGCCCCCAAGTATCTGGTACAAAATTGTCGTTCCAACCACTGTATGGGAGGACACTCATTGCCAAAACCTCGAGTGTTCTGGGCAAAGAGTCGGCGATGCAAGGCGCCAACTTTGGCCTGGGACCATACACAAGTCGATAGTTTATGTACAGCACCTTCAAAGAGCCAAAGCCATTGAATGACCAGTGTCCCGAGGTGAGATAAGGTCCTTGGTGCCCGTTCCACATTACTTCAAGGAACTTGACTTTACGTGACACAGAGTCAAGTGCCCGTCTGAGCCCCTGTAGAGGCAAGCTATCGCGGTCTCGGGGTGACGAAAATCTGAACTTCTTGAGAGCTCGAGGAAGCTGAAGGAGTGTAATAAGATCGACCTCCATAACCTTGGATTCCCTCAGTTCCAACTCCTCGACATCTGATGTCCCATATTGAGGTGTTGTATAGGGGCTGGAACCGATCTGACCCCAAATGCATACTCTTTTTATGGAATGGAACGAGAATACAGAGATCAAGGATGTCATATAGATTTTTTGGGAGGTATTCCACGAAAGCGATCGCAATCTGGTCGAAACCAAACCCTCATCAAGCATTTGAGCAAAGTGGCGTTCAAAATCCCTTCGCTTGCGCTTGAATTCATGCTGAAGATTGAATTCTTCCAGATTTTGTAGTAAATGTGCAAGGAGTAGACCATGTGTCCATGTCTGTCCCAGTTTGATGGCTTGGATGAGCGCTGGACTCAACTTTTGGATTTTTACTTCCTCTGGAGGATATATCCCACTTATTACCTGTTTCCATTCTATCCGAGGGACACTGGTCATTCAATGGCTTTGGCTCTTTGAAGGTGCTGTACATAAACTATCGACTTG